GTCACTTAATGATCACTCAAAGTTCTGACAGATCTACTTGGGGAATACTTGCAACTCAGATTCAAAGTTCTGACAGTCAGCCCCTCCCCCCCAGCAGTCATGTGACACCCCCCCACACCTCAGGCACTTGACAACCAGTTCGTATTTATGGCCGTTTGCCACATTCTACAGTCACGTGACCGTGTTTTACATTTTTGCTGAAATCTGGCAAATCTTAACAACCAGTGTTCACTTAATGACCCCTGCAAAAAAAAAAAAAGTCTGTAAAAGTGTAAAAATGGACATAATTTATAAAAGGCCATAAAATTATGATGGGGATGGGCAGTCTCCATGATGATCATAACTTAAGAACTATCTACAAATAGCATTCTGAGTCAAGCCGTAGGATTACTCATTCGGGTGCTGATTATCCTCCAAAGTTTTGCTTAGGCTTAGCATAATTTTAGTACCACTGCATCTTAGTGTAACATTACTCAGGGAAAACCCAGAATTTCCTTTAAGTATTGTATGTAATCAATAGGAAACTTCATAGAATTCCGTCCCCTTACCCCGTCTCGAAAATTTGCAGTCCTTTCATTCCTTCTTTACATTTGTAACAGTGTTAAGTAAGACCTCTCATATTATTCTGTGAAGATTTGTCATTTTTTTTTTCGTGAAATGTCTGGATGATCAGGGATTTGCAGCCCAGCTGCCACCCTCCCCTAAGTCTGAGCCACACAGCAGAGATCAGCCCTTATCCCAAATGTAATTCATTCAGATGTGTTTCAACTACAATGTCCAGCATCCCTCATCACTGGCCAGGCTGTTTGTAGCTTCCAGGTTCTGTAGTTTCAGTAATATCTGGACGCCCACAAATTCTTTACTTTCTGAGAACCAAAGAAAAGCAGAAAGCAGAACCAAAAAGAAAGGAAGGAGAGGGATATTAATAGAAGTTTATTTCTTTATTACAGCAGAAGGACCAATTGCGATATTTTTCATACGAGATGAACCCAGGAGGTCCAAGAATCAATAGATAAAACTTTTTTTACACACTGTTATGGATCCATTGGTTCTTAGTGGCTGTTCTCAAGCTTCAGACAGATGTACTGGAATGAATAATTCTTTCAAGATATTATTTCTCAGCTATATGCAATTCTGTCATTCTCAATCTTCCGAAACCAACATGGACCAAAAGTATTGGGGTGTCCCAAATCCTGGTTTGGTACACTGGAATGTGAGGTCATCCAACTTTTAGGTGGTGCCAAGTTGATGAATCTGAATTACGTGGCACATTGGGTGATACTAATGCGCTCCTATATTGCCTGCAGATTTCTGTGAAATAAGGAAATGTGACTCATAGCTGAGCCTTCTTGAGAATAATATCCTCCAGATGTATTGCAATAACTTTTTTTTCCAAATCTCTAGCAGTACGAGACTGTTAACCTGCTTCCACAATTCTTACCTTTGATTGTTAGTGTGTGAATGGGAGACCACAAGGAAATCCCAGGATTACAGAATAGGCTAGGGAAGCAAACTAATATTTTGAAGAAGGCCATAGTAAATCCTTGCGCATTTCTGTCAAGAAATCCAAATGTTGTAGTTGGAATAATCAAGTTTCTGAGATTCGCTTAAAGAAAGTTGACTTTTTGCCTCTCATGGAACATAATAGACAAAATTTGTAATCTAGAAGTTGATCAACATACACCTTACAATCACCAGGTAGCATACAATTACACATAGCTTTTTAATAATAATAATAATAATAATAATAATAATAATAATAATAATAATAATAAAGTTGGATGGGACCTTGAAGGTCATCTAGTCCAACCCCCTGCTCAGGCAGGAAACCCTATACCATTTCAGACAAATGGCTGTCCAGTCTCTTCTTAAAAACTTCCAGTGTTAGAGCATTTACCGCTTCTGGAGGCAGGTTGTTCCACTGGTTAATTGTTCTAACTGTCAGGAAATTTCTCCTGAGTTCTAGGTTGCTTCTCTCTTTGGTTAGTTTCCATCCATTGCTTCTTATCCTGCCTTCAGGCGCTTTGGAGAATAGCTTGACTCTCTCTTCTTTGTGGCAGCCACAAAGCAGAACACAATTGAGCCCAAAATTTATCTTGCTAAGTGAGAAATATGTTAAGTGAGTTATGCCCCATTTTGCAATCATTCTTTCTACAGTTGTGAAGTGAATCACTGCAGTTGTTCAGTTAGTAAAAATGGTTAAGTGAATCTGGCTTCCGCATTAGCTTAGCTTGTCAGAAGTTGCAAAAGCAGATCATGTGATAAATAAATATGAACAGCTGTCATAAATATGAACCAGTTGCCAAGCATCCGAATTTTGACCAGGGGGATGCTGCAACGACTGTGAAAAACATCATAAGTCATTTTTTTCAGTGCTGTTGTAACTTTGAACACTCACTGAATGAATTGTTGTAAATACAGGACTATCTGTGTATGTCCTCTGATCAGGTTTAGCTAATCTGTGTGCACCATCTACTGGCTGCAATGGGTATTGTCATCTCACTCTGGATTAAAAAGTGCTGTATTTGCATAGCATTTTGAACACATTCAAAGCAGCATTTCCCAGATTACGGGGAAATTCAATTTTAGTAATTCCTCACGCTGGTTGGAAATTATGGCAATTGGTCTAGCACATCGTTTTGCAAACTTGGCAACTCCCAGAATTCCTCAGCCATTCAAAGCCTTGAAGACTGGACAGCCATTTATCTGAAATGGTATAGGGTTTCCTGCTTGAGGAGGGGGTTGGACTAGATGACCTCCAAGGTCCCTTTCAACTTTATTATTATTGTTGTTGTTGTTGTTGTTGTTGTTATTGTTGTTGTTATTATTAATGGAAGACTATCCTCTCTGACAGTGCCAAAATAAGGTGTGTGTGTGTGTGTGTGTCAATTTTTACATTCATTGGTTAGAGAGGACATGCATTGGGGATGATGGATAAAATAAGAACATTTCCACCCTGTGTCTCTCCAAGGGACAAACTTCCACCACGGTAACTTTTTAATCTTCTTTCAATGTTGCTTTCAGCTCACAAATGAGCAGCCTTAAGTCTGTAAAAATTGAAGAACTAAGCGCTAATTCTCTGACTTTTCTCTTCCCGAACTCCTTCTACTTTTATTCTTTCTTTCACTGCTTTTCTTTACTTTTTTTTCTTCCATGTCCATTCGCCCCATAGATCCACTCTTAGCACTTAAGATCGTGAGAATTGGAGCCACTTAGTGACCACTATGGGGAAAGCAGGGTTTGTGGTCATTAAAGCAAAGCAATCATGTGGGCACCTCCCTTAATGACTGCCCTGATGTACAACCATAATTCTGGGCTCAATTGTGGTCATAAGTCGAGGACTACCTGTAAACAAAATGAACTATGTTTTTGATTCATTCCTTTTTATGTGTGAATCACCCTGTCATCCCAATATCAAGCTATTTAAATTTAATAAATTATTATTAATGCTCTTATACTGTTTTACCTCTCCATCCCTTTATGTCATTGAGCAGAATCATCTTCCTCACCCTCACCCTACATTCATTCAGACTATTGCCCCATTTCTCCCCAGGTTAAGCTTGTCCTCTCAGCTGCAGATCCGGTATCTCCCACCCTTTTTAGTCTTCCTTAAAGAGCTTTTAAAAAGCACGGATAGGGATGAGGCTGCAGCCCAGTGATTAGAGACTGTATTTGAATTGGGGAGAATCGTTTTAAAGCAGTGGTTCTCAACCTTTTTAATGCTGCGACCCCCAACCGGTCGTAAGTCGAGGACTACTCAACCGGTCGTAAGTTGAGGACTACTCGACTGGTGCAGCACCGTTTGTAGAATGGGACTTTTGGCGGGCTCAGCAGGGCAGAGACAGCCTGGACAATTCCTATTGGCTTTTGAAAGCCAATAGAATTAGACTCTATTCAAGAGAGTCTATTCTGTTGGTTTTCAAAAGCCAATAGAATAAAAGGGAGTAGCACAACTAAGGAAAAGGGGGGAAAAATGGCGGACTGCGTTGTTTGGCGACCCCTGTGAAATGGTCGTTCGACCCCAAATGGGGTCCCGACCCACAGGTTGAGAACAACTGTTTTAAAGGCACCCAGATTTCTTTTGCTTGTAGCTTGGTTTTTATCACTTCTTCTATGTTTTTATTGCTGTTGGTATGAGCCACCCAGAGTTATGGCGTGAAAGATGGACAACCCACTAAGTATCTTAACTCAATCAATCAATAATTACTAAGCATGCAACTTTTGCCAACCTATAGATTCCTACTTTTATGCTCACCCACAATAAGTGAGGAGACATCAGCTCACACTTTCTGACACACCTCACTTCCCTGCGTTCATTCAACTGTACAAGATGAACTTCTCTTCATTCCAATTGGTTCCATCTTTCCTTTTTTTCATTATTTCTTCATTCATCCCTTTCTCTTCCCTTTTCTTACCCTTCCTCTCACCTTTCCTTCCCTCTCCATCTCTCTCCCTCCCTTCCTTCTCCAGTTCTTTTCCCTCTTCCCTACTTCCTCCATCTCTTTCCCCCTCCTGCCTTTTCCCCTCCTTTCTCATCTCTTTTCCCTTCTCCTCTCTCTCCCCCTCTTTCCTTCTCCATCCCCTTCATTCCCTTCCCACTCCAGTTATTTTCTTTTCCATACTTCCTTCTCCACCTCTTCTTTTTCCTTCCTTCCTTCCTTCCTTCCTTCCTCCCTCTCTCCCTCCTTTAGTTCTTTCCCATTCTGCCTTCCCTCCCTCCTTCCTTCCTCCCTCCCTCTTCTTTCCTTCATCTTCTGCCTTCCTTCTTTCCTTTCCTTCCTTCTTTCCTTCCTCCCTCTCTCCCTACCATCCCTCCATCTCTCCCTTCCTCCCTCCCTCCCCCTCCCATTCCAGCCCCTCCCATTCCACTTTCAGCCTCAATTTCCCATATTCTTAGTGGCCACCAGGTGCGGATCTGCGCCACTTCACCCAGCGGAGGATTCAGAGACTCCGCCTGCCAGCGCGGGCGGGCGGGCGGGCGGGCGAGCGAGCGAGGCCGCGCCGTCGCTCCCCTCCCGCGATCAGCCACCCTTCCGACGCGCGGCCGCCTCCAGCAGGCGCTGCGCTTGTGGAAAAGCGAAAGTAAGCCGCTAGCGAGGGCTGCCGGGAAAGGCGCGGCGTCGGAAGGAAGGGTGCGCCTGTTTGGAGCAGAAGCGAGCGGGCGCGGGTCCTGGGAAGGCAGGTAGGGCCCGGCCGTCGGGAAGCCGGGGAGGGGATTGCACGAACGAGCAGCGTGCAAGGGAGAAAAATTGGACACAGTATCCAGGCTAGCACGCAGCCCCGTTGGGGGTCCTCCTTGCGCTTTTTGCGAAATGCACATAAATAAGAGGCCTGCTTCTGCCTTTTTTCAGAGAGGAGTGGTTTTCCTCGGGCTGTGTTTTCAGCGAATTTATAGCATACTTAAGCCGTCGTGAGGCCAATGTAATCCCTAGGAAAAAAAAGCTTCATGTTGCCATAGAAAAGCGTCATGAAAAATTCCACACTACAGGGTGTGGAAGTTGCCATCATCCTGTAGTGTGGAAATCCCCTGGATCACCTTCCTCTTTGGGGGTGGTTCTTTTGAATTAACTAGCTAGTCCTCGGGAATCTGCCCGCCTTAGTAAAGCTCACAGCTCTGGTTTTCATCTAAACACCCCGTGCCTAAATTACATTTTCCTTTGGAAAATGGCTCCAGGTGGTTGGGTTGGGATTTGGCAGGGGTGGGGGTGGGTGGGAGGAATAGCCTCTGCCATGATTGGCGTACTTAGAAAAAATATACATCGAAAAGCAACACAGGATGGGGAGCAGTGGATGGCAATTAAAAGGCATGAGAATCTGGATAATTAGGAGGAATTAAAGTTATTGAGCATTGAAATGGTCTGCTTAGAATAACGGTGCTGGATGGTTTCCTTTCACAGAATCTTGTCCTGAGAAGGGGGGCTGGACTAGGTGACCTCTCTGATCCTTTCCACTTTATGTATAAATGCATATTTCACCCACTGCAAAAGCTCTGGGGGATGTACATTACAGGTAGACCTCAACTTACAACCATAACTGAGCCCCAGATTTTGGTTGCTAAGCAAGGTGGTTAAATGTGCCCCATTTTACAGCCTTTATTGCCACAGTTGTTAAGTGACTCACTCCATTTGTTAAGTGAATCATGTGGTCATTAAGCAAATCTGGCTTCCCCCATTGACTTTGCTTGTTGGAAGCCATATGAGAAGGGTATAAGTGGTGATCACATGACCACAGGATATCATAAATGCATGGCAGTTGCCAAGCACCCAGATTTTGATTATATGACCATGCAGCAGTCATAACTGAAAACCGTCCATAAGTCATTTTTTTCTGCGTGACTGTAACTTCAAACAGGTGCCAAATGAACTGTTATAAGTCAAGGACTGCCTGTATTTTATGTAACATTCAACATTCTGTAACCACCCAACATTGTAAAATAACCTAACCTTCAAAACACTAAAACTCTAAGTCAGGGGTAGGCAACCTTGGCTCTTTTATGACTGGTGGACTTCAACTCCCAGAATTCCTGAGCCAGCATGGCTGGGTCAGGAATTCTGGGAGCTGAAGTCCACCAGTCATAAAAGAGCCAAGGTTGCCTACCCCTGCTCTAGGTCAAGGTTTCTGAACCTTAGTGACTTTTAAGATTTGTGGACTTCAACTCCCAGGATTCTTCAGTCAGCCCATGCTGGCTGGGGATTTCTGGGAGTTAAAAAAAAAATTCAACATTTTAAGGTTACCAAGCTTGAGAAACACCGCTCTTAGGATGTGTTAGAAATGAATATCTATTGCACTGACATTTAACAAGTGTTCTTGCAGAATGATGTTCTTCATCCAACTCCTTTTGACACAGTTTCTTGTCAGGATGTATTGTAAGGTAGGATTGCCTTCAAAAGTGTTCTGGAAGGTTTAGATAAACTCAAAACACAAGCTTAGTTAACTAGACTTGGGGGTGGAGATAACCTCCTTACCCTGTCTTGGAGATGAATCCAAAAGTCAGTCATGAACTTCAAAGCTCTTTTAAGGCTTGGAATTTGTATATTTTGCCCCTTTTCATGTTGGCCAATCCAAAGTCCAGTTCTAAGCATCTCCACCATGTGAAAAGGTTCGGTAACTATGGAAACATGAGATCTTGATAGTGGTGATCGCATCCAGTGGTGGGATTCAGCCAGTTCGCACCACTTTGGCAGAACTGGTAGCTAATTTTTTGTTGCCCAGCCCCAGAATGGACTTCCAGAAGTGGCATCTAGACAGAGAACCGGTTGTTCATATATTTGAATCCCACCATTGGATCGCATTTCATTTCTTCTGATTGAAGGAATATAAGTAGTCCTCGACTTAACAACAATGGAGCCCAAAATTTCTGTTGCCAAGCAAGACAGTGGTTAATTTTGCTCCATTTTACGACCTTTTTCTCCACAGTTGTGAAGTGAAACACCGCATTTGTTACGTTAGTAGCACGGTTGCTAAGTGAATCTGGCATCCCCATTGACTTTGATCATTGGAAGGTCCCAAAAGGGGATCACATGATCCTGGGGCACTGCAGCCCTCATATATATGAATCAGTTGCCAAGCGTCCAAATTTTGATCACGTGACCATGAGGATGCTGCAATGGTCGTAGGTGTGAAAAACAGTCATAAGACACTCTTTTGAGAGCCGTTGTAAGTTCAAACAGTCACTAAATGAACTGTTGTAAATCGAAGACTATGTGTATTGGAGAAGACCTCCCTGGAGCATAATATTTTTTTTCCCACCACAGATAAAACTGCATTTTAATATGTTACTAGTTTTTTGATAGTTTTGATAGACTTTAAAGCTAATAAATAAATGGAACCAGACTTGGAAAGGTGAGGCCCAGACAATTTCTGACTAATTTCCTCTGGAGTTAAAGAGATAACAAAGTTCTTCTGAGTGTCTTTTGCTGTTTATATATGTGTCTTTTCAAGCTTTTTGAATGTAAGGATGTCTTTTCATTTTGGCTCAGTGTACACATAAATATAAACCAGAATTTTAACCATGGTTTGCTGAGAAAACCATGATGGCCTAGTTCAGGGGTAGCCAACCTTGGCTCTTTTATGACTCGTGGACTGGCTCAGGAATTCTGGGAGTTGAAGTCCACAAGTCATAAAAGAGCCAAGGTTGCCTACCCCTGAACTAAATTAAGCCATCTGGCAGCATCAGAGCTACAGGCCTTTACTTCCATGTTAAAGGCAACACTTTCTAGTTTGTTTGTATCCTACCTTTATTTTTATTAATAACCCAAGGCGGCAGAGATTTATTTATTTGTGTTTCACGTTTCTGAACTACCCTTCTCCCTCATATCCAACACACCTTCCTCCTATTTTCCCCAGAACAACAACCCTATGAGGTAGGTTGGGCTGAGGGACAGTGGCTGGCCCAAGGTTGGCTTTGTCCCTAATGCAGGATTAGAACTCACTGTTTTCCAGCCAGGTGCTTTAACCATTAGATCAAAATGGCTCCAAAAACAATTTCCTTCGAGCCGGAATCGAACCAGCGACCTAAGGATGACTCAAGCAGACTTCTACAGTCCTCCGCTCTACCAGCTGAGCTATCGAAGGAAAGCTGCCTATGCTGAGGTGGTTTTTTTGGGTAGATCCTAATAAGGTATCTGTTAATGCCAACAATATAATATGAGCTGGTTTTGCATCTCTTGAAATAGCCTGGAGTGAGTTTTACACAGATGCAATCTCAGAGGCATCCTAGTTCATACAAAATTGCGTAGCTCAGCCACCAGATGTAAGCTAAGAACAAACCAGCCATCTGTTGGACTACTATAATGTATGGTCCCAGTCTCCTGCAAGAGCCACCACAGATTGAAAAGGTTCTCAGGTCAGAAATAACAATGGACGGACACAAAGAGAAACCCATAACTCGTCTCTGGCTATACTCATGGCAATAGAACAGGGCTCTCCAAACTTGACAACTTTAAGATTTGTGGACTTCAAGTCCCAGAATTCCTTAGTCAGCATGTAGACCAACTCTCAGAATTCCTCAGCCAGCATGGCGGGTTGAGGAATTCTGGGAGTTGAAGTCCACAAGTCTTAAAAGTTGCCTTGGAGATCCCTGCAGTAAAAATTCAGCAGCAATGGACAAAACTCTCATTCAAGCAAGGTTTTGTTTTGATTGCCAGATTTGCGATCGATCTATAAAGGAGATTCTTTCAGTCAGGTGCCTTTCAGGTGTGTTTGTGTTATAGTTACAGTTCAAATGGAAAATGAGGGAGTGGACTTAGCACATCTAGAGGGCATCTGGTTGAGGAAGGTGCTGTGTGAATCTTCATAGAAAGAAGCAGTTTCGGCTACACCGGGATTTCCCAGTTCTTGACAACTTCCAGATGTGTGGATTGTGTGACATTCTGGGAGTTGGAACCCATATATTTGGAAGTTGTCAAAATTCCTGGGTGACTAGTTTAGTTGGCATTGGTGGCTTCATTACCTTCAGTAGATTATCAAGAATTCTTCATTCATAAGAACTCTTTGGTGTTTCCTGCAAGGATCTTTTCATACTAGTCTAACTGGAGATGTTGGAAATGGACGTGAGACTTTCTGCATGCAAAGTTGGTGTTCTATGATCAAGCCGTAATTGTTCCCTGTTCTGAGTCCAAAGTTGAGTTGATTTTAAGGAATCTGTTTGCCTTGCAAGCTTGGCTGCAGATTTAACCATTGGGTAGTTCATTGATTCCTAGGACTGAATCTGCTTAATTTGACTGGGAAGACTAATTGTGTGTATGTATGTATAGATAGATAACCTTTATTGTCATTTTTTACTGTGGGGACAAGGGCACACATTAAAAATGAAATTTAGTTGCTTGCTCTCAAAGGGTACACATACATAACACGCATATAAAAATGCTATATACAACATACCGTATATTCCGCCGTATAAGGCGACCCGGCATATAAGACGACCCCCGTCTTCAGTGCCGAGTCGCATGCCTAGAAAGTCGTCTTATATGCCGGAAACTACCATAATTTCCGGCGTATAAGACGACCCCCGACTTCGGCGCCAATTTCAACGCTTTCAAAAGTTGTCTTACACACCGGAAAGTACGGTACGTATATACCTATACCAGGGGTAGGCAACCTTGGATCTTTTATGACTCGTGGACTTCAACTCCCAGAATTCCTGAGCCAGCATGGCTCAGCTTGGAAATCTCTCCCTTTCCCCTCAGCATGGCTGGCTCAGGAATTCTGGGAGTCGAAGTCCACGAGTCATAAAAGAGCCAAGGTTGCCTACCTCTGAACTACACCCTTACATATAAATAAGACGTAAATATTAATCACTGTGCATCTTGAATACATAACGGAAAGAGGAAGCTTTAGAGTTCACAAGGTTGGTACTGTATGGAACGAAACTCTGACTGAATCTGGGCGTTCTGCTTCGGATACCACAAAGCCTCCTCTCAGAAAGTAACAAGAAAAACAGGTCGTGAAGAGGATGTGTTGAGTCCCAGACAATCTTGGGGACCCTGCTCAAAGTGTATGTGTAGGGGTGTAGTGTATTTTAATTCTGGATGAGGATGGGAAAAAAAACTTCTAGTTTGGAGTGAATTATATCTCCCACTATTGGCCATCTGGGAATTCAGCAACATCTGGAGGGCTTCATATAGCCCCACCCTGATGCAAGCAGGATGTATCACAACAGAGGAAACAGGCCAGATATGAAATAAGACATGAAATATGTGCAACAAAGAGGATTAGGGGACTGAAGGCTAAAACATATGAAGGACGGTTGCTGGAACTGTGTATGTCTAGTTCAGGGGTAGGCAACGTTGGCTCTTTTATGACTCGTGCTGGCTCATGAATTCTGGGAGTTGAAGTCCACGAGTCATAAAAGAGCCAAGGTTGCCTACCCCTGACCTAGTTTAATGAAAAGAAGGACTAGGGGGTGATGTGATAGCAAGTTTCCAATATCTCAAGGGCTGCCACAAAGAAGAGGGAGTCAACCTATTCTCCAAAGCACCTGAAGGCAGGACAAAAAGCAATGGATGGAAACTAATCAAGGAGAGAAGCAACCTAGAAAAAAGGGGACATTCCTAACAGTTAAAGCAATTAATCAGTAGAGCCTCCGGAAGTGGTGGGGGCTCCATCACAGGAGGTTCTTAAGAAGAGATTGGAGAGCCATTTGTCTGAAATGGTATAGGGTCTGCTGCTTGAGCCAAGGGGGTTGGACTAGAAGACCTCCAAGGTTTCTGCTATTCTGAAATCCCAGTTTCCTGTTCCTTTTCCAGACTCCCTAAGCGTCAAGATGTTCTTTACCTGTGGCCCCAATGAAGCCATGGTCGTCTCAGGTAAGAGCTCCATTTTCGGTTCCTCTTTCTTAGCTTTTTTATCTGATCAGATCAGCCTTCAGAGCGGCAACAACATGCCGCAATGTGCCTTTGCTCAAACTAGCCACGATCCAGAATGCATGGATCACTTTCAACCATCTTTGGGCTGTTCCAGGTGAAGCTTGCGCTTTAGGACTTCATTTGGAGAGACTGTTTTCTCCTCACTTTCTTTTAGGCATTCTGCGTTTTTATTTTTACAAGTAAAAACTCCAGCAAGGGCTTTTCCCTTGATTGTGCCTGCTTCCCGTTTCCCAACAATTATATTTTGGCCGCACATCCATTAGAGCAGGGGTCCCCCAATCCCCAGTCCATGGACCGGCATCAGTCCATAGCACGCCAGAAACCAGTCCACGCAAAGAAATGAAGCCCCATCCGGTCTGGTCACAGAAAAGCCTTGCTCCACAGATCTGGTCCCTGGTTCTCAAAAGCTTGGGGGCTGCTGCATTAGACTAGGGCTTTTCAACCAGTGGTACGGGTACCACCTGTGGTACATTGGCACCTGGCAGGTGGTACCGACCATCCTAGAAAAGTGATAGCGGGGGAGGGGAATGAGCTGAACCGGTGGCAGCACCGCACAAGCCTGAGCGGGAGATGGCTGGAGCTGCAGGGCTGTCAGGGCTCAGTGGAAGCGCCAGGATCAGCGCCAGGCTCCAGTTGGAGCTCCGCGCTGATCCTGGCACTTCTGCTGAGCCCAGAAGAAGGGCCGATCAGCTGGAATGTTGCAGCATCTCCAGGGTCTTGTGATTTACATTCAGATGCTTGGCAACTGATTCATATTTATGACGGTCACAGTGTCCCAGGGTCATGTGAAGTGACCAAAACCTGCTGCAACCACCCAGCAGACGGGGGGAATAAAAACCAAACACCCCCCCCCACCCCACCCCTGCTGCCAATCCTCAACAGAAATGCTCACAACAATGAAAACCTCGGACAGGAGGAAGAGCGCTGCCATGTGGGCAGGCAGGTGTCTTGCTCGGCTGTGGCTTGGGGGGGCACTTTTTTCAGTGCCATTGTAACTTCGAACAGTCACTAAGCGAACTGTTGTAAGTCGACAACTACCTGTACTTTATCACTTCTTTCCTTTTTTTTTTTTTGTCATCAAATATTTGACACCTTGCTAGGCGACTGGTGGTACTCAGATGTTGCCATATCCTAAAAGTGGTACAGTGGGTGAAAAGGTTGAAAAGCCCTGCATTAGAGCACAGCCTCAAGCTTGTTATAGGGCTGTGCAGGAAAAGACGTAGCTGCTTTAAAGAGTTACGGAAGAATGTTAGGATCATGACCCTACACTTTCTAAAGGGGATTTTTGGAACAGAAGCCAAAGCATTTCACAGTCCTATGGAGTAGTTTATGTAGGGGATCTATAAAAAAAAATCCTGTACTATTGGATGCTCTTGCTCAGCACTCTTTTTAGTATAAGGTAGTCCTCAACTTACGGCGACAATCGGGACCAGAATTTCCACTGCTAAGCAGCGTTGTTCTTAAGCGAGCCGTGCCAAGTTTTCACAACCTTTTTGCCAGAGTTATTAAAGCAAACCAGTGCAGTTGTTAAGTGAGTCGTGCAATCATTAAGTAAATCATGGTTTTTGCTTGTTGTAAACCGGTTGGGAAGGTGGCAAGTGTTGATCACATACTCCGGGGTGCTGCAACCGTCATATCCCAGCCTTTTACAAAATTGCCTGCATTTTGATCACATGACCACGGAGATGCTGCAATGGTTGTAATTGCGAGGACCAGTCATGTAACTTCAAACGGTCACTAAACAAATGGTTGCTACCTGTATTCCAGTGGTTCTCAACCTGTGGGTCGGGACCCCATTTGGGGTCGAACGACCGTTTCACGGGGGTCACCAAGCAACGCAGTCCGCCATTTTTTCCCCTTTTCCTTAGCTGTGCTACTCCCTTTTATTCTATTGGCTTTTGAAAGCCAATAGAATAGACTCTCTTGAATAGAGTCTAATTCTATTGGCTTTCAAAAGACAGTAGGAATTGTCCAGGCTGTCTCTGCCCTGCTGAGCCCGCCAAAAGTCCCATTCTGCAAACGGTGCTGCACCAGTTGAGTAGTCCTCGACTTACGACCGGTTGAGTAGTCCTCGACTTACTACCAGTTGGGGGGTCACGGCATTAAAAAGGTTGAGAACCACTGCTATATTCCATTCTGTTTTCTCTTCCTTTAATTGGACTTTTTTTTTTCATTTTTTCCAAGTAATGGACAGCTTCCTTGACTGCTACATACTCTTCTATTTTTGTTTTTTATTATCAGTTACTACTACTATTACTACTACTACTATTAATAATAATAATATGAACATTTGACCCAGAGATCTGATTGACCAGGCTGACTGAGGGATCTGATTGGCCTGGGCAGATTCTGCACTGTTTTGTCACTTTCCATAGGTTTTTGCCGCAGCCCCCCAGTGATGATTGCTGGTGGACGTGTGTTTGTGATACCGTGCATACAACAGATCCAGAGGTAAATCTTTCTGCAGAGGCTGTATTTAAAAGCACCCAAGATCTCATCAAGGCTTGGTCACACTTTTAACTGAGCAAAGGTATCCCGTTGGTGTCATTTCAGTTGCCCATCCAAATGCTAACCAGGGCTGGCCCTTCTTAGCTTCTGAGATCAGCCGTTGAACCATATTGGTGTCCTTCAAACACTTACTGGGTTTCAAACGGAATAGAACAGTGGTGGCGAACCTTTGGCATGGCTGCCAGAGGCGGCACTCAGAGCTCTCTCTGTGGGCACGCGCGCCGTTGCCCCAGTCCTAGGCCTTCAGCTGAGTTTTATAAAACCTTTTCACTTTAGGCCTCCGCTGCTGTGTGCAAAAAAAAAAAAGGTTCAATCAATCAGTCAATTTCAACTTCTCACTGGAAAAAAAAAGATCTTGCAGAGTTGGAATTGATTGGTTGAATTTTTTAGTTCCACCCAGTCTGCTGTTACCACCGCAGCCATGCCCACCCAATAGGCCACACCCACCCAATGGGCCACGCCCACCCGGCACTCGACGATGCATAAGTGGGTTTTGGGTTGCAGTTTGGGCACGCGGTCTCTAAAAGGTTCGCCATCACTGGAATAGAAGATTGCTCTATTTGCCCTCCTTGAGTTCACTGATAGAAGTACAGGGTGACATTTTTGTTAGAAGCTGATGGATGTATAGCTTGTGTATGTATTAACCCTTTCCGTCCTGCTCTTATAGGATCTCACTTAACACCCTGACCCTAAATGTGAAGAGTGAGAAAGTTTACACCCGACATGGAGTACCCATTTCAGTCACTGGCATCGCGCAGGTAATTTTTTTTTTTTCAGCAATACACTGAAGGATATTGTACAAAGCGACCTACAGCTGGGGAAAAACAGGATTACAATCCCAACTGAATTCATTTTATTTTATTTTTTTTATTCCTTTGGTGGCTTGTAGTTAACATTTCGGCCATTCCTGAAATGATTTATTATCTTCCACTTGCTATCTTGTGCAAAATGCATCCAACAGTGCATTAGTTGTGCCCAGTATTAATCACACAATATAGGTAGCCCTTGAGTTAACAACTGTAAAGGAACCTGCCCGTCACAGTCATAACTCAGGACAGTCGTAAATCGGATCGCTCACATGACCGACTTGATTTTGCAACTTTTTTTGCAGCGGACATTAAGTGAACCAGTGGCTTGCTATGGGCTGGTTTTGCCAAAAGACTGGAAGTAAATGCCAGTTTTTGCCAAAATTCATAAAATGCAACCGTGTAACCACAAAATGCTACAAACAGCCTGATCGCTGAATGCCTAAAGTGTGGTCACAAATCCCTGGGAACTTTGAATCCAGGTCCTAAGTTCCCTCCGGCAGCTCTGTCTTAATTTTGACTAGTCACTAAATAAATGGTCATACATTGAGGACTATCTGCATAAGGTCGGAGGGACCTTTGAGCAGGGTTCCCTAAACCCTGGTCTGTGGACTGGCACCGATCTAGACCAGTGGTTCTCAACCTTTTTAATGCCGTGACCCCCCCCCCAACCGGTCGTAAGTTGAGGACTACTCAACCGGTCGTAAGTGGAGGACTACTCAACTGGTGCAGCACCATTTGCAGAATGGGACTTTTGGCGGGCTCAGCAGGGCAGAGACAGCCTGGACAATTCCTATTGGCTTTTGAAAGCCAATAGAATTAGACTCTATTCAAGAGGGTCTATTCTATTGGCTTTCAAAAGCCAATAGAATAAAAGGGAGTAGCACAGCTAAGGAAAAGGGGGGGAAATGGCAGACTGCGTTGTTTGGCGACCCCCGTGAAATGGTCGTTCGACCCCAAATGGGGTCCCGACCCACAGGTTGAGAACCACTGATCTAGACCATATCAGAAACTGGGCCGGGCAAACAAGCGAAGCCCCATCTGTGAGATGCAGGCAGTCTGCAAAACCACTGGTCTGCGCAAAAATCTTTCTCCGTGGAACCAGTCCCTAGTGCCCAAGAGGTTGGGGTGCCTCAAGAGGTCTTCAACCTTCTGCGCAGGGCAGAATCCCCATACCAGACGGAACTCTCTTCTGGAATGGAGAGGACCATCACCAACTGCTTGGAAGAGAAACCCACCCCCTTAGTCCAGTGTTTCTCAACCTTGACAATTTTAAGGCATGTGGACTTCAACTCCCAGAATTCCACAGCCAGCATTGCTGGCTGTGGAATTCTGGGAGTTGAAGTCCACATGCCAATTGTCAAGGTTGAGAAACACTGCCTTAGTCTGACAAACCCCATGTCAAGAATGAGATATGAGCAGGGGCCACTTCCCATCCTTTCTTCTTTTATTTTCTACACCATCTTTCCCACCTAGGTGAAGATCCAGGGCCAAAACAAGGAGATGCTGGCAGCTGCTTGCCAAATGTTCCTGGGCAAGTCCGAAGCAGAAATTACCCATATTGCTCTGGAGACCCTGGAAGGGCATCAGAGAGCCATCATGGCCCATATGACAGTAGAGGTAAGGTTGCTTGTGTGAATGTGTGTGTGCGTGCGTGCGTGTGTGATGTCACCGCTGGTTGAAGAATGGGTGAGGTGAGGTGGAAACTAATCAAGGAGAGAAGGAATCTAGAATTAAGGAGACATTTCTTGAAAGTGAGAACAATTAGCCAGTGGAATGGCTTGCCTCCAGAAGTTGTGGATGCTCCATCTCTAGAGATTTTTAACAAGAGATTGGACAGCCACTTGCCTAAAATGGTATAGGCTTTCCTGCTTGAGGAGGGGGGTGGGCTAGAAGACCTTCAAGGTCCCTTCCAACTCTGTTATTCTTAAAAGCTTAGATGTTTTGTCTCCAGTTGTGTACACTGGGCTGTTACTTTAATCTAGCTTTTCAACAGTTCGGTATCCAGTTGAATTAAATCAGGAATATCTGGGGGGGGGGGGGGGGGCAAAAAAGTTGTGGCAACCACGACCATGTGATTATAACCTCACCCTTTTCTTCACAAGACACATTAACAAGGGGTGGGCTTTTGATGGTGTGGTTGTGACCATCCTCTTGTCTATTTTGTTCCCCTCCCTGTAGAGCAGGGGTCTTCAAACTTGGCCCTTTTATGACTTGTGGACTTCAACTCCCAGAATTCCTCAGCCAGGCATGCCTGGCTGAGGAATTCTGGGAGTTGAAGTCCACAAGTCATAAAAGGGCCAAGTTTGGAGACCCCCTCCCTGTAGACAGCCCTGCACTGAATTATGATTTCCATTAGCCATGGGGCCTTGGGAGCCCAACCCTCACGGAGAGGGTTCAGTGAAGAAAGGCTGCTTTGAGAGTTCACAAACAAAGACACAACCTATAGGGCTATAGCAGTGGTTCTCAACCTCTGGGTCGGGACCCCATTTGGGGTCGAACGACCATTTCACGGGGGTCGCCAAACAACGCAGTCTGCCATTTCCCCCCCCCCTTTTCCTTAGCTGTGCTACTCCCTTTTATTCTATTGGCTTTTGAAAGCCAATAGAATAGACTCTCTTGAATAGAGTCTAATTCTATTGGCTTTCAAAAGCCAATAGGAATTGTCTAGGCTGTCTCTGCCCTGCTGAGCCCGCCAAAAGTCCCATTCTGCAAACGGTGCTGCACCAGTTGAGTAGTCCTCGACTTACGACCGGTTGGGGGTCGCGGCATTAAAAAGGTTGAGAACCACTGGCTATAGGATAAAAAGAAAAGCTGACGCTACTTTGCTTATGGGCTTAAAAACTGGCAATCAGAGTCTCTGCTTGGTCCTGACGTGGTTACCTCCCTTTGTTAAATAGGAAATCTACAAGGACCGTCAGAAGTTTTCCGAGCAGGTCTTCAAAGTGGCCTCGTCTGACCTAGTCAACATGGGGATCAGTGTGGTCAGTTACACCCTCAAGGATATCCACGATGACCAGGTGCACATGTCCTGTCTTGTGTTGAAGCTGAGAACGCCTGATCTCACAGGGATATCATAGGCAGGAGATTGCTAAGGACGCCCGGTTCACAATCTTTCAGCAATAGAAACAGAAGACTCCCATCGTCAACTTGTCCCATCGCCAAATGGAATTGCTTGATCCATTTTTTTTTTCTCTTGTTCATGAAAAGATGACATAAGAGTTCCTTTTGATAACTAACAACCAAGTTTGGGGCTGAGCATATTTATTGACTGACTGGATTTATGTCTGTCACTTCTCCAAGGTTGGTCAGGTGAAGAAATAAATGTCTATGCGTTTGACTGGAGGTCTAGTTTATGATAAAGGCTATAGTCTGGGGGTCTTCAAACGTGGCCCTTTTATGACTTGTGGACCTCAATTCCCAGAATTCCTGAGCCAGCCATGCTGAGGGGAAAGGGAGAAGTTTCCAAGCTGAGCCATGCTGGCTGAGGAATTCTGGGAGTTGAAGTCCACAAGTCATAAAAGGGCCACGTTTGAAGACCCCTGGGCTATAGTAACAAAATCTTGAAAGTTTTCCTTTCCTATAGTGAAATAAGATGGAGCCAAATTGAGTTGTTTCCTGGCCTTAGCGTACGTTTTTTGTTGTTTCAACCATCATTTCCACATGGTTTTCCACTTCAGAAGATCAAGGTAGCATACATATTGCTCTCTTCCTATTTTTCTCCATAACAACCTTGTAAGGTAGGTTGGGCCGAGAGAGAAGGATTAGTTCAGGGAATTTCCATGGTTGCGGGAGGATTAGAACCTGGGTCTCCCCATTGCCTAGAGTCGGTCTGTTCTGCGACTGTTCAATAACTCCAAGAAGAAGAGAAAAAAAATCAGAATTCAGCATTATCAGATTCTGTTTGCAAAAAGGACATTTTCTTGCTGCTCGATTTTGGGTTGCTTTTCTTGACCATCGCCTCCCCCTCTTGTCAATTGTAGGATTATCTTCATTCTCTGGGGAAAGCCCGAACTGCTCAGGTACAGAAAGATGCCAGGATTGGAGAAGCTGAAGCCAAGAGGGATGCTGGCATCAAGGTGAACTCTCAGGCCATTGTGGAAGGACAGAGTTGAGATGGACGCTGCCTGTGTGTGACTATCTACCCGGTTTTAGAGATGGCTGGAGGTTTTTAAGAAAAGATTGGATAGCCCAGTGGTGGTGAACCTATGGCACGCGTGCCAGAAGCGGCACTCAGAGCCCTCTCTGTGGGCACGCACACCATGCCCCGGAGATGGCAACCGTCCCTGTTCAACCAGCCGCCCGCTAACTCACAGAGGTCCCACGTGGCCAGATGCATCCCAGCATGGCTGGTTCCCCACCCCACCCCCGTTACATCCCTCCTGGCCTTGCATGCTCTCCTTTCCCCAGGCACAACTCACTGCATCGCCTCCTCAGCTGTCGGCCGGCTGTCCAGCTCAAGAGGCGGCTTCTCTGAACTGCTGGTGGTGGGCTGCGGAGTCCCAGAGTGCACCAGTTGAGGGGCTGGCAGGCTGTGGCTGCTGACGGACACTGTCGGCCCCTGTGTGCTCGCTGGCCTCTGTGGGGGGGGGGCAATGGTATCAGGCAGTGGCTACCCCGGCCTCTGCCTCACCTTGCCCTGCGACAATGGCACCCCCCACCCTGCCTCACCTTGCCTCGTCTCACCCCGCAGGATGAGCTTCCTGCCCATCGTCCCACCTGCCAGAGACCCCCTGGATCTCTCCCAACCCTGCCCGGCCCCCACAGGTGTCCCTCCCCATGAGCAACATCAAGGTGACCATGCCCACCTTGGCCACACCCACACAGTTTGCCATGACCACCACAGCCATGCCCACCTGGCACCCGGCGATACATAAGTGAGTTTTGCGTTGCAGTTTGGGCACTCGGTCTCTAAAAGGTTTGCCACCACTGGGATAGCCCCATTTGTCCGGCATGGAATAAGGTCTCCTGCCTTGGGCAGAGAGTTGGACTAGGACAGGAGTAGGCAACCTTGGATCTTTTATGACTCGTGGACTTCAACTCCCAGAATTCCTGAGCCAGTATGGCTCAGGCTCAGGAATTCTGGGAGTTGAAGTCCATGAGTCATAAAATAGCCAAGGTTGTCTACCCCTGGACTAGGAGGTCTCCTTTATGCCCTATGACTCTAAGCAAGTTCAGATCTGGGTATTAATTGGATGGGGGACCACTAGGAAACCCCAGAGCTGAAGAAAGGAAGGCAGCGACTGCCAAATGATTTCCCAGTAGTATCAACAATCCAAAATAGACTTGCCCATAAAATCACTAGGAGTCAAACGGAACTTGAGAATCTTTTTAAATCAAACATCCTTTGATGACCAAAGCTTTTGCACCACCGCTACGTTTTTGCCTCTCTCTCTTCCTGTCGGGCCTTGCCTCTGAGTTCGTCATCTTTCCGCCTCTAGGAAGCAAAGGCCAAGCAAGAGAAATTGTCTGCTCAGTTCTTGAATGATATTGAGATGGCCAAAGCCCACCGAGATTATGAGCTGAAGAAGGCTACTTACGATATCGAGGTGAACACACGGAAAGCAGAATCTGACTTGGCCTATCAGCTCCAGGTGAGCCACCCACCCTGCAACCAGTCAAGGGGAATATGCTGTAGCCTATTTTATTCGCAAATGAAACATGCATAGGAAAATATTTGTGGTTCTTACCCCTGGGCCTGTCCACATCCTTCATCCAGAGCAGAGATGTCCAACCTTTTTGGATTGGTGGCCCGAGGGAGGGGCAGGCACCTTACATGTGCATGTGCAAACGTGAATGTGGCCACATGTGCACATGCACATACAAACAGGCTGCGAGCATGCGTGCAAGGCTCTCAGTGACGACGACGACGCCAGGATCGCAGCGATGCTACCACAAGCACAATGCTCGTGCTGTGGCCTGCAGCAATGCTGCCCCCGGTGCAACAATCATGCCATAGCCCGCAGTGATGCCGTCCCGGCACAAAGTTCGTGCCACTGCCCTGGCGCGAGGCTTGCACTGCCATTCCCACACGTGGCTCATCCGCAGCACTGCTGCTGCCCACACAAGGTTCATGGCAATGCCGCCACCTGCGTGTGGTGCACTGCCGCCCACACGCTGTTGCCCCCCCGGGCAAGGTTCGTGGCAATGCCGCCGCCCATGCAATAGTAGCGGTGCTGCCACCTCCCGCACCACACTCGCAGCAACAGCACGAGGTTAGGTGAGCATTTACTGTGAGACCACAGCCCGGTAGTGGACCGCAGCCCATAGGTTGGGGACCTCTGATCTACAGCAGAGATGTCCAACCTTGGCAACTTTAAGACCTGTGGACTTCAACTCCCAGAATTCCCCAGCCAGCATCTCTGATCTACAGCATAAGCATCTGCTCTAAATTTGCCGGATGTTGACATGTTGAGCCATGAACTAGCTTCACCAGGGAGTTTCTGAAACCCTTCAGGGTGTTTTTCTGTATCCTTCATGCAGGTGGCCAAGACCAAGCAGAAAATTGAAGAGGAGAAGATGCAGGTCTTGGTGGTGGAGCGAACCCAGCAGATTCAGATCCAGGAGCAGGAGATGACCCGTAAGGAACGTGAGCTGGAGGCCAGGGTCAAGAAACCAGCCGAAGCAGAGCGTTACCGGTTGGAGAAATTAGCCGAAGCTGAAAGGCACGGGCATCAAGGCTCCCCTATTCCCCTCTTTTTCCTTCCTATCCAGAATCTTCTCTTATTCACCACAGAAGAGCACTTTTCAAGGAGGGAACTGATTCTGGCTGTACCCCTTTAGAGCAGAGTTCCCCAATCTTTTGGGGTTGGCGGCAGGGGGAGGGGTGTGTGAATGCATGTGTGCGCACATGAACACCTATTGCTCACACGTGTGGGGCCGTGAGTACTGACACGAGTGGGGCTGCAAGTGCTCGTGATACGGTGATGTGAGTTCTCAAAATGGGGCTGCAAACGCCCACGGTGATGCGAATGCTTGAACAAGTGGGAACATAAGTATTCACGCGAGTGGCACTGTGAGTATTCACATGAATGGGGCCACAAGTACCCACGACATTCACGTGAGTGGGGCCACAAACGCCCACGGTGCTTGTCACTCAAACACGAGGGGGGCTGTGTGCGCACACGTACCGACCAGCCACTCAAGTGGCCTGGTGGACAACAGGCCTCAGCCTGGTAGTAGGCCGTGGCCCACAGGTTGGGGAACCCTGCTTTAGAGTAAAACTGGAAGGTTAAATAATGGAATGAATTTCCACAAAAATAATACAGATGATCCTTGAGTTATGACCATAATGGAACCTGCCTGGTCATTAATCAAGCCAGTGGTTCGCAATAGGTGCAGTTTTGCCAAAAGCCCAAAGTAAATTTTGTTGGTTTTTTTTTTGGCAAAACTGTCGTAAAATGCAGTCAGGTGACCATGGGACTCTGCAAACAACCATAAATGTGAACCTGATTGTTGGACTCCTGAAGTACAGTCACCTAATTGCGGAGGGTGGGGATGGGCAACTGTCAGTACTTCAAATCCAGGTCGTAAGTAGGTCTGTCCGAACTTCAAAAGGTGACTAAACGACTGGTCGTAAGACAAGGACTACCTGTATCCCCACTCACGTGGTGGATAATCAGAAAGAGTAGAATTCAAAAATACTTTGTCATACAAGGCGCTGATGTGTTTGAGCTATGCAGGGAGCTGATTTATGGCAAAACCATCCTTGGACTGTACCAACTGAGAATTCGTTTAAGGAGGGCTTGCATGGATGAACGCTTAATTTTCAATCACACCATCTCAGGATTCCTGCACAGCAATGCAATGTGTCACAGCATTCTTGCTGAAATACTTTTTCTAACTTCAAAACTCCCTTTTCACAATCCTGTAGTCCCTGTTTGGGATAGAGTCAGGGTGACCGGATGGAGCTGAGCATTTACTGGCCGATGTCCTTCCTGAGTTCGCAGCAATACATTTTCTTCGCACCCTAGGAGAGAAATATCTGCCACTACCTAGGATTGAACACTCAGCCTTCCAAGTTGGAGCCAAGCGTCTTCACCATTAGGCCGCTAATTGTTCTAACTTCAAAGAGGCCTAACTTTCATCCTTGAGGTAGAACACCATTCGGTCCTGTTCTATGGTTGGCAGCCCATACGTTTCCCATCCTTTGTCTCAAAGGTGCTTATTCAAAAGGCCACTGCACTGTTTTTTTTTTTCCCTGGAGGAAGATAGTTGTGTTTGTTTCTGAGGAAAAAAAAAACAATCCAGTTGCCTTTTGAAAAAGCATCTTTGAGACAACTGTGGATGACTAAGAATCTCCACAGACATTCCTACCCTTTGCTGTTTGGTACAGAGAAGCCTTTTGGCCTCCATGCATATAATCCTTTTTGACTTCCTGCAACTAACTCTCCAGTTGCAAACCAGGTATGGTTACCATGCTGGGCCCTAGAAAAATAAGCCTGTTTTCTTACTCCAGTTTTGTCACCTCAAGCTCTTCTCAGACCCTCTCACTTACTGGTTCTCCCCTCCGTTTTGAAAGGCCAAAAATGGCTGTTGGATGCTGGGCACAAGGGTAACCGTGTCCCTGTTTTCTTCACAAACAGGATGCAGCTCATCATGCAGGCGGAGGCAGAGGCAGAAGCCATCCGGGTGAGCCATTTCTTCTTCTCTACCTCATGGAACAAAGAGCAGGAAGAGGTGGATGAGAACCCAGCTTACTCTGAAATCCCGTTTTCGTTTTTAGGTGAAGGGTGAGGCTCAGGCCTACGCAGTTGAGGCCAAGGCCCGGGCCGATGCTGAGCAGATGTCTAAGAAGGCAGAAGCTTTTAAACAGTATCAAGAAGTCGCCATGGTGGACATGCTTCTGGAGAAGCTTCCGGAGGTAAGCACGTCCCTGAGTAATCCCAAGGAGAAAAGGAGGGAGATGAAGGCTTTGACGAATGGCGGTCCCAGGATAATGTCGGTCACTGAGGCCAGAGGTTTATTCTTCCAAGCTTTGGGGCTCGTGCTGGAACCCATCATCGGGGAATTTCTCTCTCTCTCTCCAGAATGTGTGCCCTGGACTGTTCTACATGGTTCCTGGTTGTGTATAGCTTTTAGTTGTTAATTAGGGTATTGATGGCTGGATATTAAGCCATTAACTGTGCTTTCCTTGTGCCGCTGCACCCTCAAAGGCTTGAAGGCTTTGACATAAAAGAGTGGTACTATCGAAGGAAGAGGGCATCTGAACAAAAGCACAGTGAGATTTGTTAATTGGACAAAGCTGTCTGGTGAAATCAGTGACCAGTCATTGCAGAGTGCAAAGATGTCTGACTGCCTTCGCAGTGTTTATTGTTTTACACAGGTATTCCAAGAAGCATAAAGTAACATGGCATCAGCATAGCAACAACATTGTGAAACCCCTTGCCAATCCTTAGAAACAGTGTTTCCCAAACTTGACAATTTTAAGGCATGAGGACTTCAACTCCCAGAATTCCACAGCCAGCAACGCTGGCTGTGGAATTCTGGGAGTTGAAGTCCACATGCCTTAAAATTGTCAAGTTTGGGAAACACTGCTTAAGAATATACCAGCTAGGAGGCCCCCAGCCAGGGAGCAGTTTTCTGCCACATCCTGTTGGTGTAAGCTAGCTGATATCATGTGAGCCAGGTGAGGTCATGTACCAGCCAGGGGTATTTCCCTCCATCACCATGGTGATATGAACGGGATGAGGTCATGCATTTGATCAGGCAGTTTGCTGCTCACAAACTTTACATGACCTCTATCCCTTCAGCTGTCCATTATTTCTCGTGTAGATAAAGGAGAATATTTGTAGCTCAGGGTTGGAGTGAGGGGTCCTTGGTGCTCTCTGAGCTTGCTTGTTTTCTTGCAGACGTTTCGTTACCCAAACTAACATCTTCTGTGCAGCACCGACGATGTTACCTAGTTTGGGTAATGAAACATTTGCAACAAAACAACCAGGCAGGAAGCATCTTGGGTTTACAACAGCAACCAGGATTGCCCAGGATTGGCTGTTACTAAGCAATGTGGTCAAGTGATGTGTGCTTCCAATTGACGTCATAACCCGAGGACTATCTGTACAGGATAGTCCTTGGCTTACAACCACAATCGAGCCCCAAATTTCTGTTGCTAAGCAAGACCGTTGTTAAGTGAGTTTTCCCCATTTTACAACCTTTCTTGCCACCGTTACATGAATCACGGCAGTGGTTAACTTAACGACACGGTTGTTAAATGAATCTGGCTTCCCCCATTGACTTTGCAGGTCACAAAAGGTGATCACGTGACCTCGGGACAGTGCGACCGTCATAAGTATGAACCAGTTCCCAAGGATCTGAATTTTGATCGCGTGACTAGGGGGATGCTTCCATGGTCATAAAAAAACAGTCATGTCACTTTTTTTCGGTGGCGTTGTAAGTTCAAATGGTCAATACATGTAAGTTGAGGACTACCTGCAATTTGGAAAAACTGGTGGATACCGTTGTGGACCGTGGGCCTTTTGCAGCTATCCTTAATCTAAATGGTTCCTTTGATGGTGATTTTTTTTTTTTTTTTTTTTTTTTTTTTTTTTTTTTTTTTTATGTACTATGTTGCACTGGAAAAGTCTTAAATTAGAATTTTCCCTTGCTTTTTTTTTTCCACCCCAACCACCTTGTAAGGTAGGTTGGACAGAGAGAGAAGCCCAAAGCCATCCACTGCTCTCCTGATCAAATAGGGACTTGAACCGTAATCTCTATCCAGGTTCTCTCTCTGAATCCTTGGACTACACTCTTGTCTTCGCCTTCCCTTCACAGATAGCTGAAGAGATCAGCAAACCGTTGGGTTCCGTGAGTAAGATCACCATGGTGTCGAGCGGAAGCGGAGATGTGGGTGCCGCGAAGATGACTGGGGAAGTGCTGGAAATCATGAATAAGCTGCCTGAAACTGTTGAGAAACTGACCGGTGTTAGCATCTCTCAGGTATCGCTCAAGGATTGCTCAGCTGTGGGGAGGAAGGGGTGGAGCCGGTATAAAGCCCTTCTCGGTGGCAACTAGCTAAAGCAGTGGTTCTCAACCTTTTTAATGCCGCGACCCCCCAACCGGTCGTAAGTCGAGGACTACTCAACTGGTGCAGCACCGTTTGCAGAATGGGACTTTTGGCGGGCTCAGCAGGGCAGAGACAGCCTGGACAATTCCTATTGGCTTTTGAAAGCCAATAGAATTAGACTCTATTCAAGAGAGTCTATTCTATTGGCTTTCAAAAGCCAATAGAATAAAAGGGAGTAGCACAGCTAAGGAAAAGGGGGGGGGGAATGGCAGACTGCGTTGTTTGGCGACCCCCGTGAAATGGTCGTTCGACCCCAAATGGGGTCCCGACCCACAGGTTGAGAACCACTGAGCTAGAGTAAATATGTAGTTACTATCCTGGCTTCCATTCCATATTTAGTGGACCAAGTAGAGCCCAAAATCTGGGCTGTATGGAAAGAGGAAAAATAAATTGGTTGGAGACAAAAGAGGCATTCCTTAATTAGCCAAAGGGATGAGCAACAACCTTGTTGTTATTTCGCCTTTAATAACTGTGCTTCCTAGGGATGCTGGGAGTTGTAGTTTTTCAACATCTGGAAGGTCACAGATTGCTTATGCCAGGGGTTCTCAACCTTGGCAACTTTAAGACTTGTGGACTTCAATTCCCAGAATTCCTCAGCCAGCAAAGCTGGGAATTGAAGTCCACAAGTCTTAAAGTTGCCAAGGTTGAGAACCCCTGGCTTATGCATATGCAGAACTTCTATATTGCCCGATCTGAGCACCCTGCAGATGTGAGCCCTTCAATTCCCAGAATTCCTCAGCCAAAGAAACACATCTAATGCATGTTTCAGTGGGGAAAGGCTCCATGTTCACGGGAGCGATGACTGAATTTTAATCTTTTGGGGGGGGGGCTGTCTCTCCAGCAGATGAATCAGAAGAAACCGGGACGGATGAACTGAGGACAAGGAAAAGTCTTAAGAGTGAACCTCCGAGATCAACATCAATATGCACCCATATTTAGCGTTCCTCCTATCGTCACCCTCCTGTGAATGCCAAACCTTTATTATGGACAAGATTGTTGCATGTTGATCAGTATCCACAAATGCTGAGGTCTTGTCACTCCGCTGTACCACTGTGATAGCTGGGGATGTCACAGTGTAGACCTGGCAATATAGTGATTTCCACCACTTGTGGAAATGATCCTTTCCTTGACGCTGTTCCTTTCCTGGAGTCTGCTGTCCACTAGATATTTCTTTCCCCCCCAAATAACCTATCCTAGAGGATCTAACAGTGGCTCTACTTCTAAAAAGGCTGGGAAGGATATAAGACTGGAATAAGGATAAGGCTGGACAGTGGTTTTGTTTCAGGGATTTCTGACAAGGGAAAGTCATTTAGTGCTTTGTTCAGTAATTTCCCTAATGCAGTGTTTCTCAACCTTGACAATTTTAAGGCACATGGACTTCAACTCCCAGAATTCCACAGCCAGCATTCTGGGAGTTGAAGTCCACGTGCCTTAAAATTGTCAAGGTTGAGAAACACTGCCCTAAGGAGTTGCTACCTATGTAGAGAGAGGGATTCAGTTTTACAGTCCTTATTAAACCTAGTGATGTGTGAGGTTTCCCAGTTCTGTTTATCTAAACTAGGGGTGGGGAAGGATGGCCCTGTTAGGACTTGTGGACTTCAACTCCCAGAATTCCTGAGCCAGTTCAGGAATTCTGGGAGTTGAAGTCCACAAGTGGTAAAGGGGCCATCCTTCCCCACCCCTGATCTGAACCTTCCCAGCTTGCTTGATAGATCAACATTTTCTCCATTTGTGCCATAGTGTTTGGTGCTGTGCATAGCTAAGATTCCTCTTCTTAGCAAACTTCTTACATTCTGCTTTTTGTCTTTTTTCTTCCATCCTCTCTTCATCACCACCCCCCACCAGTCCTTAATCTCACTTTTTTGGGGGGAGCCTGTGTCCATAGCGGCTTTCCTGTATTAAATCAGAAAGGTCTCCCTGCCAGAGAGACAATCCACACCGCGACAGGAGATCCCTCGGGATGAACGTTCGAATAAGCGTCTCTTCTGCTTGCATGTTCATCTCCTCTTAAAATCACCATCTGAATGTGCCTTATATCTGTTTTAACTAACGGAGTAGTTATACATCATCATTTCCCTAAAAGGGGGAAATGTGAAGCGTCCCCATTTTCACTGCTTGTTACCTCTCCTCTTAAGTTTTTGAACTCTTCCCCGAAGCTTTTCAGTTTTGTACCCTGACTTCTGACGCTGTCATCTTTGCTCATTGTCCCAAACTTACAGGGGCCATCTGCTCATGAAGCACACTTGGTCAGACGGTAGCCCTTCTACAGCGGCTTAAATATCACCCCTGGACCTGTCTGTGCTTATGAATTCATGTATGTCGTGTTTGGCCTGCTTGCTTGTATGTTGTGGTCTTAGCATGGTGTCTTGCCTATGTTCGTCTGAAGAGGACAGTCCGTCCTTGATGTTACTGAGATCCTTGACTAAGAATAAAGTTCAAGATTAATGCCTGTGGTGGACCTTCTGTGTATCCATTTCTACTTTCTGGTCCATGTTTTCACAATCTATATCTGAACCTAAGAAATACTTGCTGTGAGTACAGAAAATAGATGGAGGAAACGGCATTGCTTCTGTTTTTTTACACGTGAACCTGCTTTATCAGCGTAGGTATAATATGAACTTTGTCTGCATAATCTCTAACATTCCTTTGGGTTGCAATTGGAGTGATTATTATTGTGGCTGGTTGCACGGTCAGCCAGATGGTTAGACTGGGTTTGGCATTTTTATCCACCTATTGAGTTTCTCCCGAAGACCTGGGATAGGCACACATTGTTTAATATTAAAAGTATCAACACAGAATGCAAGCTGTTCCAAGTAAAGCTGCCTTTTGCAATTGACCAGTAGTGGTTTTTGTCAATGCCAATGGTGATCAAGTGGTGTTTGAGATTATTATTATTATAGCACACATTTATGGTCAATGGAAGGGAGAGAACATACCTAATACTCCTGTTTTTTATATTCTCCACAACAACCCTGTGGGGAGGGTTGGGCTAAGAAAAAGTGACTGGCCCAAAGTCACCCAGCCTCCTTTCATGACTAAGACAGGATTGAAACTCATGATTTCCTGGCTTCTAGGCCAGCATCTTAACTACTATATCTAACCAGCTCTAACCATGAATATGTAGGAGTCCCAAATGGTATCTCTCTCAGTGTCTAAGCCAGGAGTGTCAAACTCAATTTCATTGAGGGCTGCATCAGCATTGCGGTTGCCTTGGGGGTATGTGGATAACTTGGTAGACGTGGCCTGCTGGGTGGGCATGGCCAGCTCTACATCATTCGCGTCAAGGGTGCCTGTGGGGGCCTGGGCAGGAGTGGGACAGATCTGAGGGTCTCTGACAGAAGGAGGTAGGACCAAGGCAAGCGCCAAAGCATGGTCCATTTCTTCATTCCTCACAAAGGGTGACACCTTCCCAGCATGCACCCAGGGGGCGAGGCCGACACAGCAGGGGCTGGTTCCTCACTGTTTCTAGACGGCCTTGTGGAGCTAAGATGGAATGCATTTCAGCATAGATGACCATCACAAAATTGTACATTGGCTCCTGGCCAGCCAGGGCCAAGGCAGTGGGGGCTGTTCCCTCACTGTTTCCAGGATGGCTTCGCAGGCCACATGAAACCACTTCGCAGGCCGCATCTGGCACCCGGGCCTTGTGTTTGACATGTCTGGTCTACGCCATGCAAGCTGTTATGTAAGAAGTTGAGTGATCAGGAATTTTTACTGTGGATAAGAGATCATTTAGCAAGTTTAGTGGATGGTTTCACATATTCCGTGAAGCCATAATATGGCTTCATTTGTTTTTTGTTCAGTATGTATGAACGCAGTCACTGGTTTGGAAATCAGAGTGTATACGGATTGAGCCATTAAAAGAAACCTTTGTGATCAATAAATGCAACTGGGCTTAGTATAAGGCAATGTTCAAGATGTGTGAACTTCACCTCGCAGAATACCCCAGCCAGCATAGCTGATATAAGCCAACTTTCTATGGGTAACCCATTTAGCCAAAAATACTCCATCTAGCACAGTGGTTCCCAACCTTTTTAATGCTGCGACCCCAACCAGTCGTAAATTGAGGACTACCCAACCAGTCGTAAGTCGAGGACTTTCCCTGCCCGGGAGCGCCGCACATGCGTGGTATCGCCCCCTGCGCCGGCCGAGGCATAGCTGGCAAGCAGCAGAGACGGAGCAGGCCGACCACCGGCTGGGCCACCAGCTGGCCCAGCCCAAGGGAGGTAAGGCACCTGCCGGGATGCCAGCAACCCTCCCTGCACCCGCCAGCCTCCCACCTCCCACCCCTGGCCCTCTTTTACTTACATTTTTAGTAGTTGCTCAGCAGGGAGAGGTGGAAACTTCCAGACAGCTCGCCTTCGCTGCAGACAACTTGCAGCACCATTTGCAGAATGGGACTTTTGGCGGGCTCAGCAGGGCAGAGACAGCCTGGACAATTCCTATTGGCTTTTGAAAGCCAATAGAATTAGACTCTATTCAAGAGAGTCTATTCTATCGGCTTTTAAAAGCCAATAGAATAAAAGGGAGTAGCACAGCTAAGGAAAAGGGGGGGAAAAATAGCGGACTGCGTTATTTGGCGACTCTCGTGAAATGGTCATTCAACCCCAAATGGGGTCGCGACCCACAGGTTGAGAACCACTGATCTAGCAAGTGGGCCATTTACACCTTGCTGCAAAGAGGAAATGTAGCAATAGCACTTAGACTTATATACCGCTTCATAGTGCTTTATAGCCCTCTCTAAGTAGTTTACAGAGTCAACATATTTTCCCCAACAATCTGGGTCCTCATTTTACCGACCTCGGAAGGATGGAAGGCCGAGTCAACCTTGAGTCTGTTGAGACTCGAACTCCTGGCAATGAGTATTAGTCTGCGGTACCGCATTCTAACTCAGAGCTGTGGTGGCGCAGTGGTTAGAATGCTTAATTGCAGGCTAACTCACAGCTCACTGCCAGGAGTTCAATTTTGAATGGCTCAAGGTTGACTCAGCCTTCCATCCTCCCAAGGTCGGTAAAATGAGGACCCAGATTGTTGGGGGCAAATATACTGACTCTGTAAACGGCTTAGTGAGGGCTGTAAGTGCCATTGCTAAATGTAACTCAAAAAGAGGAAATAGAAGGGCACAGTTCCGAGGAATTCAGGATGCGTGATTGGTTTAAGTAGAAATACAAGGCATTGGACACAAACAGGGATGACTACCAACTTCATCCACCTTCCCAAACATGCTGCTGGTGAATACATAACTAAATTCTCAGTCCAATCTTGTTTGTCTAAAAACAGTTTTGTAATCCCAGCAATTTTGTTGGGATTACACCTTCCACAATTGCTGTCACTGAATCTTCTGGAGGCCACACACATACACACTCGGAGAGCACCTCCTTGAGAAAGGTTTGCATTACAGGACTCCCATCAAGTGGAGTTCTGTTGTCACATTGCATTTCAGAGGTGTATTCTCTGCAACAAGCGGGCGAGGCAGTGGGTCAGTGGTTAAGAGGCTGGGCTTGTTGGCAAATAATGCCTGATTTCACAGTGCCTGACAATATGTGACACACAGATAGTGGATTACAGTTTGTCTAGTGCAGGGGTAGGCAACCTTGTCTCTTTTATGACTCGTGGACTTCAACTCCCAGAATTCCTGAGCCATCATGGCTCAGCTTGGAAACCCCTCCCTTTCCCCTCAGCGTGGCTGGCTCAGGAATTCTGGGAGTTGAAGTCCACGAGTCATGAAAGAGCCAAGGTTGCCTACCCCTGGTCTAGTGGTCAAGTTTTCAAAATATTGCCTCATAAATTTGATACATATGTAGCTATCATATTTCAACGGGGATAGTATCAAGATCACGAGAAGTGTTAGTATTGTTTTATATTGCACTGGTAAGACTACTCTTGGAATACTGCATCCGGTTTTGGTCACCACGATACCCAAAAGATGTTGAGACACGAGAGTGCAGTGAAAAGCAACAAAGATACCGGGTCTGGAGGCTAAAGAGAGAAGTATTAGGAATATCATGTCTGATAGCAGTCTTCCAATATTTGAGAGACTTAACACAAAGAAGAGAGGGACAATCTGTTCTCCAAAGCACCTGAGGGCAAGACAAGAAGTAACCGATGGAAGCTTATCAAGGAGACTTCCAACCTAGAAATTTCCTGACTGTGAAGGCAGCCAGTGGAACAACCTGCCTCCAGAAGTTGTGGTTGCTCCAACAGGTTTTTAAGAAGAGATTATGCAACCATTTGCCTGAAATGGTATAGGGCAGTGGTTCTCAACCTGTGGGTCGGGACCCCATTTGGGGTCGAACGACCATTTCACAGGGGTCGCCAAACAACGCAGTCCGCCATTTTGTTTTCCCCTTTTCCTTAGCTGTGCTACTCCCTTTTATTCTATTGGCTTT